GGGGGGGAGGAGGGAGGGGGGGCGCCGAGCCCCCCGGCTGCCCGGGGTTCAAGCGCTGCGAGGGCTCCAGTCGCCCCCGCCCGAGCCGCGGGTCTGCACCGGGGCGGCCCGTCCAGGGGAGACGACGGCGGCTTCGGAGGAGCCCGGCAGCGGGACGGAAGGGGAAACTGAGGCGGGGGGCGGGGAGCGAGCCCCAGGGGCCCGGCCCGGGCCTGCAGCCGCCGCCTCCTCGGGCTCCCTTCAAACTGTCACGGCCGCCCCCGCCCCCGCCCCCGGTCCCAGCCCGCCCGGCCTCCCCCGGGCCCCGCCGCCGCCCCCGCCGCCTGCCCGGGGCCCCGGGGGAGGCCGGGCCGGGCCGGGCCGGAGCAGAGACTCACCCATGGCGCCGCCGCCGCAGCCGCCGCCGCTCCTCTCCTCAGCCGCTCGCTCACTGACCGACATCCCCTCCCCCGGCGAGGCCGCACGCCCGCCCGCCCGCCGATTCTCCAACGCCGCCTGCGCCGCTGACGCAGCGTAGCCTCACGCCGCGCCGCGGCGCCTACGTACGCCGCCCCAACCCCCCCCGCAGCCCGCGCCCCGCCCCGCCCGCGACGCGCGCGCCCCCGCCCTCGAAGCGGCGCGCCCGGCCCGCTCTCGCGAGAGCATCAGAGAGCGCCCCCCCCCGCCCCCAGGGCCGACCCGGCCATGGCGCAACCGGCCGCCGGCAGCCATCTTGCGGCCGGGCAGACGGGAGGCCTCGGGGGTCGCTCAGGACCCGAGCCTCCAGGACAGATTCATCCGTGCGCGCTGGTCGTAACGACTGCGCTCGCCTGAAGCGGCTGAGGGCCTTGGGACCCCTCCTGGAGTTCGGGGGACGGTCAGGGACGGCGAGAGGGTGCGGTTCCTGCCCCTACCAAAGATGGCCGCCCAAAAGGCACGTCGGGGCCACGGCCTGAGCGCCTCCGACAGCGTTAGAGCCTGGACACGCAGTTAGCGTAAGGTGGGCGGCAGAGCCTCCGCACGCACTTGGCGTAAGGAAGGTGGTGCAGAGCAGGGACTACGT